GCTTCGTTGATCTGATTGGTTTATTTGGCCCGTCTATCACCAACATAGGCCAATCAGCTAACCAGTATTTTCGCCCCTTCCCAAAATTACTTCAACCGAAGGTTTCCAGAATGGATATGCGGAGCAAATCCATCTGGCGGAGTCAGGTTAGCTGGTTGCTGTCCTCACAAGTCTTTAGGAGAGACGCTGTCCAAACATGCATGTTTTTTGGACCTTGGGTGAAGTCCAGAATACTCATAGAAAATATAAAAAAGATTCTTCAAAAATATGGTATAGGGTTGGTCATGTTTTCAGACCCTTGTTTCAAACAATAAATGATTTATAGAGCCACTAATCCTGTTTTATATCTGTATCATTTTAATTCAAAGTTTAAACATTTTAACGTATCTTCATAGGTCTTTCTGTCAGTCTTGATCTACAAAGAAAAGAACTGATTATCAGTCTCTCATGTTTAGGAGATTGTGCTTGTTACCCTTACTGGCATTGCATTATCTGCTTTTATACACATTGCTGTGCTAGTGTTTGCTTTATGCAGGTGATAATAGGATTATTGTTTACTGCATTGTTGTCATGGAAAGCCCCTGCGTGGGAAGCCTGCTGCCCAGTAGGCATGAGCATTGGCTATTAATGGTTTATTCGAGCTCATACTACAGCAACTTGCAGCTATAAACCTAATCTGAATTATGAAAAAAAAAAGCTTTTTTTTTCTGTTTCCTTTGACGTACAAACAATGGTATTTTAAAATCCCATTTGCCACATTTGTAACCAGATGCTTATATATATTGAATCAAAATGAGCATTCAAATTTTCAGAAGTTCACCTATATTTATAACATTTGTATTTGGTAGAAATGTGTTTTTAACATCATAACTAAATATTTAGAAAATATTGTTTTCTTATAATTCTGTTCATGTTGTCAGTTCCCTGTAACTTCAGGCTGACCAGTTATTTTTTGTTGTTATTTTAATATATATAATTTTTGCTAAAATATTTTGTTTCTATTTGTCTGTTTTCTCTAACTTTACCTGATATTGGTGATAGAGAATAAAAAACTATAGAAAATATGTTATGAAGCAACACTTGTGGTCAGAAGCAGGTTGATAAAAAATGTAATGTATATTTACTGATACGGTATATATTGAAACTTTTACTGAAAATGGATAAAGTGCAAACATTACAAAAAATGGAAGGGATTAATCAAGCATCATCTACAATTATCTGTAATATGAGATAAGCAATAACTAAAACCCTTAGATTTATCATGGGGTTCAGGTTATTTTAGATTCCGTGAATAAGCTAATGATCTGGGATTTCCTGAATTGTTTTAAGGCTTATTATAACTCATTATATTTTTGAAGAGAATGAGACCGCATCTCTGAAGAAATTCTATTATTATTCTGGCCTTTAGGAAAAATGGATGATGTTGTTAATCCTAGATTTCATGCATCAGAGGGATATTTGTCCGATTCAGAGAGTGAAAAAAATATTACTTTTCCATTTACACAATGTATTTAGCCACCTAGTTTGAACTGAAAATTTAGGGCAAATGCATACACTATAAAATTGATGATGTGATATTAGTCAGTCTGTATCAGTCTCTTCTATTTTGCACTTATTTATTTTTCAATGATTTTTCAGCAACCACACGGTGTTCTTTAAATATGGATTCTGTTTTCATATTTTCAGGCGGCGTCACCTTCTTTGTTGCCTTGTACGACTACGAAGCCAGAACATCAGACGATCTTACCTTTAAAAAGGGGGATCGCTTTCAGATCATCAACAATACGTAAGAATCTGCTCAGTCTCTGTCTAAATCAACGCTTTCATGGGAGATTTAGCTCTTTTCTGGTGTCATCAAGGGTCCTTGAAATCCACATAAACTTGTTATGGACAGTAAATTTGTAATAATTTTGAGATTTTAACAGTGCATTTAATTCTGTGAGTGCTTTGGTTTGAATTTAATGTGAATATCGCCGGCCCACATAGTAGCGAATTAATACATGCAGGCCTATATTTTTTGCATGCAAAAAAAAGATTTTTTATGATTGTTTAAGGTGTTTTAAAACTACAATCCAACCCAAACATTAACTTAGAGATGAAAATAAATTAGTTCCAATAACTAGAAACAATCTTGGAGACCCTAAAGTGTTGGAATATCAATAAAACCATCAGCATGGATGAAGATGAGCCTGACAAAAATGTGTACTAAATTATCTTTAGGATGGAGCTCTCAAAATAAAGAACACTCTTCCAACCGTATAACATAGTGGTGGCATGGTGACTTCCTGAGGGCCTTGTCACTCCCATTGTTGCTGGTTTGTTGTTCGATCTAGTAGAATAACAAGAAAACTACATACAAATAATTCAGTTTAATATCAAATCAAAAGAAAGCCAGTTGAAACTTGGAGATGATTTAATGTCCTACTTTATACAAAAGCGTCTCACGAAAGCTGTGAAAATAACACATCTAGTTCAACACATCATATTGGTTAATATAGCAGACAGACGTGCTAACAAAATCTACAATAAAATAATGGTTTCAGACATACAAGGTCTCTATCATAAAGCAAATACTTCGTGATCTACTATGAATTATGCATTACTCACAGATCAATAACATTTTCATTACTCCAAAAAAGCAAAGAACAAAAAAAGTGTTTGCTTGAAAAGCAGAGTTGTCTCATTTTAACCATTTTTTCTTTATCCTAAAGCTGAAAATCAAAACCAAGTTCATGTCACAATTTTAGGTTGAGCAGAAGCAACAGCATTTGCTTGTTTAAGAGTCAGATGTAAAATGATCAACTACCATTAACAGTGTTCCATTGGTGATTTCCATCATTTTTCCATATATATGTAAAAGCCTCTGTCCAGTGTTGACAATTGAATGAACAAGCTATGTGCTTTCTTCTGTCATTGTTTGGTGCAGCGAAGGAGACTGGTGGGAGGCTCGCTCCATCACCACCGGGAAGAAAGGCTACATCCCCAGCAATTACGTGGCCCCCGCCGACTCAATTCAGGCTGAAGAGTAAGCCTGAGTTGTCACTTCTCCTACCTCCTATATACTGAACCTGTGTCAGAGAATAATTGCTCTCACATGATTGTTTATGTTTCTGTATGGTCCCAACATTCATGATTTAACATCTGTGAATTTTGCGGTCTTACCTTTCCAAAATCAGCTTATTTAACTTTTATTTTCTAAAGTCCCTTCTCTTTTAATATGCTGTTTTTATTTGCTTTGTACAGATGGTACTTTGGTAAAATGGGACGCAAGGATGCTGAGAGGTTGCTGCTCAATCCTGGGAATAACCGGGGGACTTTCCTGGCACGGGAAAGTGAAACAACTAAAGGTGATTCCTCCATGTGGAATGGTTA